GTTCAAAAACGACACTTGGCATCCAGATTTTAGAAAATGGGATAACAAACGTGCATATCATATTTGCCATCATGTAATTGGTTGTCTACGCAATAATTGTGATGGGATTGCCGTGTTTTTCTTGTATGTACAAAAAAATCAGCAGAAAATGCAGTTTCATGTGTCTCTTGTTTGTGCAGTGAATGAAAAACACAATGGGAAAAGAGGCGGAAGAATGAATCAGAAAGATGGCGCAGATCATTGGTTTTCTCAAAACCCGGCAATGCAAACCTTGGGATGCATCAGAGTACAATCAACTCATTTCCACGGGACCGTTGCTGCCACTTTTAGAGCAGTATGTGAGCATGGGTACGGTAAATGATCAAAAAAAGGGACAATTGCCATGTTATGGGGGGGGGCGTGGGGGAATGGTATTGTACTTATGTCCTACCATGTTACTTTTTCGTAGGGTCAAACTCAGGGGTGACTTGGCAAGTTCAAACACGGGGCGCTAACGCTGATGGATGAACGTTCGACCAATTTCAAGTAGCCAATGTCGCAAATCAAGGTAACACGTATCAATAAAACCATTCAACTTTTGCCGAAAAGATGAAAAAAAAAGACTTGAAGAGATGGAAAATACTTACAAGTTTTATGGTGGAAACGCAGGACCGTCATGTAGCACGTGGCAACCGTCAGCAATCGGGTACCTGCCATCGACGTCAAACACAGGTGAGTAGTATGAAGTGATTCTGTTGACGATGCAACATCAGAGGAATTATATGTGACATTGCTGCTTGTGTGTTGTATTCGCAAAAAGTGTAGTTTGTCGTGTATGATATGAATGCATTTGCCATGTGTAGTGAAATGCATTTGCCATGTGTGATCAACTGTGGTTGCCATGTGTGATCAACTGTGGTTGCCATGTTTGATGTATTGTGGTTGCCATGTCTGATGAACTACAATTGCCATGGATAATCAACTGCAGTTGCCATGTATTATCAACTGCATTTGCCATGGACAATCAACTATGGTTGCCATGTACTATCAACTATGGTTGCCATGCATAATAAAAAATGTCGTTGACATGTATAGAAAAAATTGTGGGTGCCAAATGTGAACAAACCGGATTATTCTGCACACTATGATTGATGTCATGCCAGAAATCGGATGCAGATGGTTTTTTCAGTTATGAAACAAAACTGCCATTCAAACGAAGATTAAATGCATGCCTTTTTTTCTTTTTTTCTGCAGGACCTCCAACTACACTAAACGGCAGCGCGGGGGCATCTCATTCGGGTACCTTTGAGCACACGGGAGGGACATCACAACAGCAGGTCGCCGATGATGCCACAAACAATGAAGAATTAGTGTCGGGGGTGGCAATCGTTGAAGCGACTACGACAAGCACACATGTGGGGGGTAACCTCATCACCAGCTTTTGACCGACTGGTCGCACGATTCCGTGGCGGTACCTCCATGAAGTCATCGTCATCGTCCTGATGGTCGCCGCGAGCCATTGTGCTACAGTAGCAACAAAAAACACACATCAAATGGAGCAACATGTATTAAAAGGACAGAAATGTAGCCAAAGTGGGAGAGCAGAAAAATGCAGATACATGGCAACAGCACATGTCTCTGCTTCTTAAATGATTCAGTTGTCGTCTGCAAGTGTCAAATTGCAATGCAGCTAGATTCATGTTGCCATCAGTGGTGGCAGTTAACTAAAGGGTACTTCAAAAATAGGGGCAGACATATGCTAGAAGATTCATGTTGCCATGTTAACAAAACAACTAGTTGTGGCAGATAAAAGGCACTCCATCTGACATGGCAACTGACACAGTTGTTTTAGAAATCAGTTGCCATCAGTGGTGGCAGTTGTTAAAATTGCCATGACAATCATCCTCAAACACTTTGAAATGCACCTAAAACGGTATCCAACAAAAACCAAACAGTAACATTACTGTACCACTGACATGGCAACTGACACATTTGTTTCAGAAATTAATTGCCATCAGATGTGGTAGTTGATGAAATTCACATGACTTTCATTCTCAAACACTCTGAAAATGTGCCTAAGATGCACCACTGACATGGCAACTGACTCAATTGATTCAAAAATCAGTTGCCATCAGTGGTGGCAGTTGTTAAAATTGCCATGACAATCATTCTCAAACAATTTGAAATGCACATAAAACGGTATCCAACAAAAACCAAACAGTAACATTACTGTACCACTGACATGGCAACTGACACATTTGTTTCAGAAATTAATTGCCATTAGATGTGGTAGTTGATGAAATTCGCATGACTTTCATTCTCAAACACTCTGAAAATGTGCCTAAGATGCACCACTACATGGCAACTGACTCAGTTGATTCAAAAATCAGTTGCCATCAGTGGTGGTAGTTGTTGAAATTGCCATGACAATCATTCTCAAACAATTTGAAATGCACCTAAAAAGTAGATTCAAACAAAACCAAACAGTAACATTGTCGTACCAATTACATGGCAACTGAAACAGTTGTTTCAAAAATTAGTTGCCATCAGAGGTGGTAGATATTGAAATTGACTTGACTTTCATTCTCATACAATCTGACATGCGCCTAAAGTGCACCACTGACAAAGGCAACTGACACAGTAATTTCAGAAATCAATTGCCATCAGTGGTGGCAGTTGTTTCAAATTGTCATGGCAATCATTCTCAAGACTCTGGAATGCGCCTGAAATAGATCTAGGGTTCGTCCACAACTAGCATAACATCAATTTCATCGACACAAACACCTCGACACTGACGGCAATAACATTTCAGGAGCAACATAATGAACTAAACAGCATCAACATCGCCATCCCAAAAAGTAGTTGCGAGAGCACATGCGGTTGGGGATTCGACGAGTCTCGTCGGCTTGACGACGAGAGAGACGGCGACGAGACCATAACAAGCTACCGTGCGGGGAGGGGTGAACAAAACAACCGACTCCTCGCCGGCGGCAACACATGCGCACCGCGAAAAACGCCGGGATCTCGAGAAATCCCGATGGGAAATCGAGCAAGCACAGAAAGGGGATATGAATCGCGGGGGAATGGGTGTGACCACGGCGGAAGGCTTACCTTCGGCCTGCAGCTGCTCCGGCGACGACGTCCCCGGCCGGCGAATCCCAACAACCGCCGCGAATGCCGTCGACTATTCCGCCACCGCCGCCGCCTTCTCCTTTCGACTCCTCCCGAATCAATTGGAACCGCTGCAGAATGGGTGGGTTGGGGAGTAAATGGGGAGGGAGCGAGAGATCACCAGTGCGGGGAGGGGTGAGTGGCGAGTCGTGCAATATGGCAACCACGCGTTCGAGATCGTGTGCGGGCGAGATGGTAGTTCCACCGCGCGCGCTGACTATGAAAACCGTCGTCGTCGGGGCAAAACGGCGTGCGGGCGAAGTGGCATACACGCCACACACTTTGCTAGTCCTACGTGGCAGTCCGGAATCCAAGCATCGTGTCAAGATTCGTGCGAAATGCAGTGGACGGCGATAAGCGCGTGTGGTCGAGTTGACGCCATGCCACACGTGTGGGCGTTAACATTTTCGAAAAAAAATTTGTAACCACTACCATTTTGTATTACTCGACGATAGGCGAGTTTAATCGCCATCGGCCCCAACTTTCCGGAAGCTTAGCAGGAATGGAAAAAAATCTCACGAATTTGAAGGGGTGTGTCCGCCAGATGGTGAAAATGCCTTTAACGCGTGTGAAGCGCCAAATAGGAATGCAGGTGAGGCATCCGGCACGACACAACATACTGGCGGGAACCCTACATGGGCCGAAGCACGACCGGCGGTGCCTGGGTGGCCCGACCAGCCCAAGTCTCAGGAACCCTGCCTCTCTCCCAAGGTCGCCTTACGCGTCTCCCCCAATCCCCAGTCTCAATCGAAGCCAAGGAACCAAAAACAGTGGCTGCGCTCGTCGCCCCCACCCTGCGCCGCCGCAGTCCAGCAACCCCCCACCCCATATGCCCCCGCCATGGCAGCCCTCAACTTACGCCGCCGGCACGATAGTGGCAGCATCTCTCTGCCGCTCCTCCTCACCGGCCGGATTTCACGCATCCCCTGATTCCGATCCCCTTTCTTTCGTTTCAGATGAAGAGAAGACCATTGGAGATACTTCCACAGCTGCCCCTCCTATCTCCCTCGATGATGAATTTCCGAAGGCCACCGCCAGGGGTAAGCATACCGTGATCTGTCGCACAACGATTAGAAAGATCCAATTTTTATGAGCTGTGTGTGCAGTTTTGTTGAGGGGGGCAGTTTTTTTTTTGTCGCAAAGATGCGATTTTGCTGCCAATCAATCGTACGAATTATATAGTATTCTCATATAAATATGATGAATCTATTGGTTTCGTTCTGTTCAACGTAACCGGGGTGTTGGAGCGAAAAATGTTGATGGAATCCTCCGGGGGGCTGTGATGTAAAGTTTGTTTTGCCCTTTCAGTGAATCGGTCAATCCCAACGATAGTAGAAATCGGTTTGCCAATTTGAATTGTATTCTTGTTCCTTCAGTACATATATCTGTAGGGGGGAAAGGGAAGGGGCCTTGTCCGAGTCGGCAACGTACACGGGCTTATTTGCTTCGTTATATACATCTGCTTACATGTTTTTTTCCGTGATTTTTTCACAATGACAGGACCTTATGCAAGTGCAGGCTGGTCGGACCTCCCCATAGATCTCCTCATCCGGATACTGCATCTCCTTGAGCTCCCGGAGGCCCTCGCCTTCCATGCTGTCTGCCCATCATGGCGTTCTGCATCTGTGGCCGCAGGCGGTGCCCCACCTCGCCGCACGCCGTGGCTTGTGTCCTTGGCGGAGGAGCCTCTTCTGGCAGGGGATCAACAGCGGCGTGTGCGTCGTGGGTTATGTGATCCTGCTGCTACTTCTTAGCTCCGCAACCTCCTGGATGCTGAGAGAACTTTTCAGGTCAGCTTTCCCAGGGGCCAAGCCGTAGCCTGCTGCGGTGCCTCCCATGGCTGGTTAATCATGGCAAACGAGCTCTCGGATCTCGTCCTATATGACCCCTTCACCGCGGCGTTGATCCCGCTCCCACCAATCACCGGTTTTGCGCCGTGCATACAGGGTGTCTATGGAGACGAAGGAAAGATCGTCGGCTATCGTTACGGGTGTTACATGATAGAACGTGTTCATGATGTGCAGTCCCTCGGTGGGTATTTCTACGACAAGGTTGTGTTGTCCGGTCCTCCGTCCACTTGTCGCGCTGTTGCTCTGGTCATCCACCTGGATGGCAAGCGGCTCTCTTTCGCGAGAATAGGAGACACCTATTGGCAACAAGTATCGGTGATCCGAAGAAATGGAGATAGTTTTGCAGATTGTATCTACCACCGCGGAAGGTTCTATGCGGTGACAATGGAAGGGATATTGAAGTCATGGGACTTTAGTGGACCAGACAAACCGAGGAAGAAAACGGTCATCGCCGAGGATGACAATGATATGTTCGACGACCCAGTTATCACTAGGTACTTGCTTTCGACTCCTTGGGGTAATCACTTGCAGGTGCGTGTCTTTCTTGACACACACCAGGGAAACAATGTCAGGATTGAAGTAGACAGGTTGGACCTCAAGAGTCAGACAAGGGTAGCACTGAGCTCAGGGAAGGCTCTGCGGGGACATGCGGCCTTCGTCGGACAGAATAGCCCTGGCATTTTATCCACCAAAGAATTCCCCAAACTAAGACCCGATTGTATCTATTTCACAACTCCCCGCCTCAGAGAGCGCCATGCTTTCGAGCATCGCCGTAACCAATGGAGCGGTGTGAAGGTCTATGACCTGAGGAGACAGACACTTGAAGATGCTTTCCCGTCTAGTGGAGGTCTTTACGGAACCATCTTTCCATTGGAAGTCTGGTTCACACCAAGTCTGATCTGATAACCACGCTGTAACTTGTAAGTGTTATTTTGGTCCATAATTTAGTAGCATCAGGCCTAATGGTTTTTCTGTGAGTTCTCACTATTGTTGTATCATTTTCAGGGTGGAAATATGCCTCGAGTTAATGGGAATTCCCTTTCAGAAAATGAATCATCTGCCTCCAGGATAATTTCTCTTGTTTCTCTTGTGGCTGTTTTCATGTGTGTGTGAGTCGTTTAGAAACGACGGGTTTTAGCATGGAAGAAGGTTGCCAGCGCCAAATCTACACTGTCGCTCTTGGTGTTGGTTTTATTATATAGTGTATGTGTTCAATTGTTTCAGAGAAAAGTGTTGCATGTCTTGTAATATGTGAGTTCTGTGTAGCTCAGGCTCAGAAAATCAGTGAGTTGTGTATCACTTGCGTGAATGCTGGAGACCAAAGAGTTTGTACTAGTACTACTACCTCTGTCCCAAATAAGTGTCTCAACTTTGTACAAAGTTATACTAAGCTTAGGACGCTTATTTTGGGACGGAGGGAGTATTTTGTAGTTGTTGCACAGTTCCTCGTTCCAAACCCATGTATCGGCCGACCTAAATACAGACCCAGCTCAATGTCGCTGCCTCTGTATTTCGCAGAACCTCTGAAGTGCAACGCTTTAATTTGATATTTTGTGTGTGACGTTCGTGTGCATTTTTGCCCTTTCGACGCAAAGATGTGGTTTTCCTAACAATCATACGGATTATGTTCAATAGCTGAATGCCCTTGCTGCCAGGTAAAAACAAGCTTAAACATATTTTGCACACCGAACAAGGCAACCTATCTGAAGATATTGTATTCAATCTTTAAATGAACTAAGATTATTACTTGAATCCTAGACAACAATATCTCTTCAATCTTTAAATGAACTAAGATTATTACTTGAATCCTAGACAACAATATCAAATACAGTAGATTATAAGAGTATGGTAGCACATGAATTTATTGTTAAAATAATGAGATGATGCTTAAGGATAATTTGAGATTTAATAAAACTCACAGTGAGACTAGTATCTTGCCTGCACCCTCTTTGTTTAACATACTTTCAGGCACGTACCTCATCTTGCCGGAGGCCGTTTACGCATACCGGAGCCAGACACTAGCTCCAGAGCCTGAGCCGGAACCACCACTTGACCCTTATCGACAGTCCTTTTATCAGTGGAATCCGGAGGAGATCGCCAACCAGTGGCACTCAGATGACACTCCTCAGTACACCGGAGAGAGTAGCTCTAATCGATGGGCATAGACCAACTTAGGCCAAAAGCCTAAGCTTGGGGGAGTACATATTTCTCACCGACATTACATTCATGTTCACACACTCATTCTAGTTATCGGTGCTCATACTTTTTCATTGTACTATCCATGCTAGTTTATTTTCTTTTCTCGCTTTCTTCTTGTGTGTTTGAATAACCTTAAGAAAAATCAAAAAATTAGTCATAGCTTTTAGCTAGTTTACTTTCTATGCCTGTAGTAGTAGTAATCAAAGGAAAACTCAAAAAGATTTCTCGTTCTTCTTTTGCTTGTTGGGAGCTTTCCCGTGTAAATAGTTTTATTTCTTTTCTTTTCTTTGGGGGTCGAGAGGAGAAGACCATGGTGAAAATGTTGAGTGGCTCTCAGTTGCATTATTGTTGATTTAACCAAGAGCCCATATTACCTTGTCTTCTCCCTTGAATTGAATGCTTGCAGATTCCAGCTTAGTCCAATGCACATGCACTATTATTATTATCCATACCGTTCGGTCGTGCAAGTGAAAGGCAATAATGATGATATATGATGAAATGATTGAGATGAGAGAAGCTGGTATGAACTCGACCTATCCTGTTTTTGTAAATATGATTAGTTCATCGTTCCTGATTCAGCCTATTATGAATAAATATGTTTGCAATGACAATTCGAGATTATAGTTGCTTATGCCATGCTTAATTAGCTAGGAGTTTATAATGGTTTACCTTGCGTGCCAACATGCTATTAAAATGGTTGTATGTGGTATGATAGGGTGGTATCCTCCTTTGAAAGATTCGAGTGGCTTGACTTGGCACATGTTCACGCATGTAGTTGAAACAAAATCAACATAGCCTCCACGATATTTATGTTCATGGTGGATTATATCCTACTCATGCTTGCACTCAGTGTTGATTAATTTTAATGCATGTTCATGACTGTTGTCGCTCTCTAGTTGGTCGCTTCCTAGTTTTTTCCTAGCCTTCACTTGTGCTAAGCGGGAGTAATGCTTGTGCATCCACTTCCATAAACCCCAAAGTTATTCCATATGAGTCCACTATACCTTTCTATATGCGGTATCTACCTGCCGTTCCAAGTAAATTTGTATGTGCTAAACTCTAAACCTTCAAATGAAATTCTGTTTTGTATGCTCGAATAGCTCATGTATCAACTAGGGTTATTTGTATCTTCCATGCTAGGCGGGTTATTCCCAAGAGGAGTGGACTCCGCTCCTCACTCACGAGAAAATGACTGGTCACCGGGATGCCCAGTCCCATGCTCAAATCAAATCAAAATAATTGCAAACAAAACTTCCCTAGGATTGTTGTTAGTTGGAGGCACCCATTGTTTCGGGCAAGCCATGGATTGATGATTGTTGGTGGAGGGGAAGTATAAACTTTACCATTCTGTTTGGGAACCGCCTATAATGTCTGTAGCATGGAAGATATCGAGATCTCTCGGTTGTTATGTTGACAATGAAAGTATGCCGCTCAAAATATTATTTATTTCTATTTCAAAAATCTAGCTCTGGCACCTCTACAAATCCCTACTTCCCTCTGCGAAGGGCATATCTATTTACTTTTATGTTGAGTCATCATCCTCATTAAAAATCACCAGTTAGAGAGCACCGCTGTCATTTGCATGCATTACTATTAATTTATATTAAGTATGACTATGACTGGATCTCTTTTACCATGAAATACAATGTTTAGTCAGTCCTTGATCTTCAGAGGTGCTCTGCATTTATGTTTCGCGGTCTCAGAAAGGGCTAGCGAGATACCATCTTGTTATACCATATTATGATTATTTTGAGAAAGTGTTGTCATCCGAGTTTTATTATTATTGCTCGCTAGTTGATTATGCCATTGATATGAGTAAACATGAGACCTAAGTGTTATTGTGAATATGGTTAGTTCATAATCTTTGCTGAAAACTTGAATGCTGGCTTTACATATTTGCAACAACAAGAGCAAACAGAGTTTTTCAAAGTTTTTCTCTATCACTTTCAGTTTGTCAACTGAATTGCTTGAGGACAAGCAAAGGTTTAAGCTTGGGGGAGTTGATACGTCTCCGTCGTATCTACTTTTCCAAACACTTTTGCCCATGTTTTGGACCCTAACTTGCATGATTTGAATGGAACTAACCCGGACTGACGCTATTTTTAGCAGAACTGCCATGGTGTTATTTTTGTGCAGAAATAAAAGTTCTCGGAATGACCTAAAAATCCATGGAGAATATTTTTGGAATTAATAAAAAATATTGGTGAAATAATCAACACCAGGGGTCCCACACCCTGTCCACGAGGGTGGGGGCGCGCCCACCCCCCGGGGGGCGCCCCTGCCTCGTGGGCCCCCTGGAGCTACACCGACCTTAACTCCAACTCCATATATTCACGTTCGGGGAGAAAAAAAATAAGGGAGAAGGATTCATCGCGTTTTACGATATGGAGCTGCTGCCAAGCCCTAAACTCTCTCAGGAGGGCTGATCTGGAATCCGTTCGGGGCTCCGGGGAGGGGAATCCATCGCCGTCATCATCATCAACCATTCTCCATCACCAATTTCATGATGCTCACCGCCGTGCATGAGTAATTCCATCGTAGGCTTGCTGGACGGTGATGGGTTGGATGAGATTTACCATGTAATCGAGTTAGTTTTGCTAGGGTTTGATCCCTAGTATCCACTATGCTCTGAGATTGATGTTGCTATGACTTTGCTATGCTTAATGCTTGTCAGTAGGGCCCGACTGCCATGATTTCAGATCTGAACCTATTATTTTTTCATGAATATATGTGAGTTCTTAATCCTATCTTGCAAGTCAATAGTCACCTATTATGTGTTATGATCCGACAATCCTGAAGTGACAATAATCGGGACCACTCTCGGTGATGACCGTAGTTTGAGGAGTTCATGTATTCACTAAGTGTTAATGCTTTGGTCCGGTACTCTATTAAAAGGAGGCCTTAATATCCCTTAGTTTCTAATAGGACCCCGCTGCCACAGGAGGGTAGAACAAAATATGTCATGCAAGTCGGAATATATGCCTACATTACATTGATGAACCGGAGCTAGTTCTGTGTCACCCTATGTTATAACTCTTGCATGAGGAATCACATCCGACATAATTATCCATCACCGATCCAATGCCTACGAGATTTTCGCATATTGATCTTTGCTTAGTTACTTTACCGTTGTTACTGTTACAATTACTACAAAACTGCTATTGTTACTTTTGCCACTGTTACCGTTACTTCCATACTACTTTGCTACTAAATACTTTGCTGCAGATATTAAGTTATCCAGGTGTGGTTGAATTAAGAACTCAATTGCTAATACTTGAGAATATTCTTTGGCTTTCCTTGTGTCGAATCAATAAATTTGGGTTGAATACTCTACCCTCGAAAACTGTTGCGATCCCCAATACTTGTGGGTTATCAGGCTACTGTTGGCAACTTATACTTATCCACGGATCCCCTTGATATGAATGAATGAGATGCACCAGTATCGAAAAGAACAAGTGCTGTAAATGCATTAATCAAAAACTTACCGACAACTGCGTCGGGTTGATCCTCAATCTACTCCACACTAGCTTGGTTTACCTGGCCTTTGGTGAAGGGGTTGGGTTTCTTTGCAGAACTTCCATTGCCATTTCCATTCTTTGCTTCAGGACACTCAGTGGCATAATGTCCAGTCTTCCCGCACTTGAAACAAGTAATGTGACTCAGATCCCTCTTGGTTGGTGTTGCGGGGTTGGAATGGTTCTGAC